TTAGAATTTGTGCTAGCAAAACAGAGGAAATCTAGACATAGTCATGTATCCTAGTTTGGGGAAGAACACATTTCAAACTGATTAGAGAAAGAATAGTTAAATTCCCTTGGACCAAGTTCTGCATGAGATGTTAGTCTGTAAGGGATAACAAATCACCCAAGTATGGAAACTGAACACAGAAAGAGAAACAATTTTGTTGAGGAAGAAAAGAGGGAATTGTTTAAACACACTGATGTGTGTATATAGAGACTCATCCAGAAGCTTAGAGCTGAAAAGCATCATGGTGGGGTAGGAAAAGTGCTAGATTTGGTGTCAGAATTCCCAGAGGGCAAATGCTGGCATTCACTAAAGTAGCCCGTGTTTTTAAAGACCGGGAGAAAGAAATAGGAGAGTCTCTGCCTCAGGAAACATGGCCATGTGGCCCAACATCCTGGGACCACGTGCAGTAGGAACTCAGGGAGTTCTTTAGCCTGGTTTCTACCTCAGCCATGCCCTGAGACTTTATTTTAGGGAGGCAAGTGGTAGAGTGGGAAAAGCCCTAATTGAGGAGTTAGAAGACTGAGGTTCAAATCCTTCCTCTCCTATTTGCTATCTGTGTTGCTTTGGGCAAACGTTTCATCTCTTTGTGCTTCAGTTTTCTCCCCTATAACAAGAAGATCTTGGTCTAAATGACCTCTGAGGTCTCTTCTAGCTCTGAATCTATGATTCTGTGATCCTGAAAAGACACATACAGAGGATGGAAGAAAGGCCAAGTGATGGAGATGGAATATAAAAGCATGGCATGGTCCTGTACGAATAGTATCAGGAATGCTAAGGCTCACATTGAACTGAAGCTGAGGAGGAAATGGACAGGTAACAAGAAGGGACAATTTAATTTTTTTTTTTTACCATATTGGGGAAAAGAGGATGATTCAAGAAGAGATAGGAACGCCTCTTGGAGCAGATAGGATGATAATAATAGATGGCCAAAAGGAGACAGAGCTGCTCAGCTCATAACAACAGCATTTACATAGCACTTACTGAATACCAGAAATGGTGCTAAGCATTTTACAACAAGCATTGTCTCATTTGATCCTCGCAACCACCCTGGGAAATAGGTGCTATTATTGTCCCTGTTTTTTAATGAGTGAGAACAGCTGAGGTAAAGTAACTTTCTCAGGGTCACAAAGCTGAGTAAATATCTGAGGCTGGATTTGAACTCAGGTCTTCCTGACTCCAGACTCAGTACTCTATCTACCACACCACCTAGCTGCTCATTTCTCATCTATTTTCTCTGCCAAGCAGAATGGGAGACTGGAAAGGACAGAACAAAAAATGACCAGTGGGAAGGATAGGCACAAGATAAGTAAGATCATGAGGAAGCAAGCTAAGTGTTCTTGATGTGTTCAAGTCAGCTACATTGTGCGGTGTATGATGATGTGATAGCTGAGTGAGTGTGAGTGATCAGGGTAAGGCTGCTGAGAGGAGGAGCATCATAAGGCTAGAGAATGGCAAATGTTCCAGTTTCCCCCACCATGAGAGAGAGAGAGAGAGAGAGAGAGAGAGAGAGAGGAGAGAGAGAGAGAGAGAAAGAGAGAGAGAGAGAGAGAGTGAAAGAGAGAGAGAGAGAGAAGAGAGAGAGAGAAGAGAGAGAGAGAGTGAAAGAGAGAGAGAGAGAGAGAGAGAGAAGAGAGAGAAAGAGAGAGAGAGAGAGAGAGAGAGAGAGAGAGAGAGAAGAGAGAGAGAGAGAGAGTGAAAGAGAGAGAGAGAGAGAGAGAGAGAGAGAGAGAGAGAGAGAGAGAGAGAGAGAGAGAGAAAGAGAGAGAGAGAGAGAGAGAGAGAGAGAGAGAGAGAGAGAGAGAGAGAGAGAGAGAGAGAGAGAGAGAGAGAGAGAGAGAGAGAGAGAGAGAGAGAGAGAGAGAGAGAGAGGAGAGGAAGAAAAGAAAGGAAAAAGAGAGAGGAGAGAGGAAGAGAGAGAGAGGAAGAGAGAGAGAGAGAGAGAGAGAGAGAGAGAGAGGGAGAGAGAGAGGAGAGAGAGAGAGAGAGAGAGAGAGAAGAAAACAAATCCTATGATCAATAGGTCTGAATTTGACTTTGATTCCACAGAAAACTCAAAATCATTATTAAAGGGATGGTTAGTGCATATCTAGAAAAAGAAACAGTGATCATGAGGAACTAGCATGGTTTCATCAAGAACCAATCATGCTATACTAACCTCATTTCCTTTTTTTGAAAGGGTTCCTCAATGGGTAGAGAAGAGCATTGTGACTATAGCTCTTATTAAAGCATTTGGCAAAATCTTTCACGCTATTCTTATGAGCAAAGTGGATAGCGACAGACTAAATGATAATACAGTTAGCCAGATTACTAATCATTCAATATCAACTTGGAAGGTTTCCGGCGCAGTGCCCCCAGGAATCTGTGATTGTCCCTGTGTCATTTAACATTTTGGTCAGTGACTTGGATAAAAATACAGACAGCATGCTTATGAAATTTATCAGATTTGCAAATGACCCAAAACTAGGAGGATTATGTACCACATTGAATGACAGGGTCAGGGTTCACAGAGTTAATGACAAGCCAGAACATTGGGCTGGATCTAATGAGATTAATTTTAATTGGGATAAATGTAAAGTCTTTCATTTGGGACCAAAAAAAAATATATACTTTGCAAGTACGAGATGGATGAAGTGTGGCTTAACAGCTGTTCATTTGGAGGAGGAGATGTAAGGGTTTTTATTGGTCTGAAAATTCATTATGAGTAAAGAGTATGATGCATCATCCAAAAAGAATGCTAGTGTGATCTCAGACAGCCTTATGATAGAGGCTGCGTCTAGGACAAGGGACATGATAGCTCCATTGCGTTCTACCCTTGTCAGAACACATTTGGAATATTGTTATTAGAAGCTAGAGAGTGTTCAGAGGAGAGTCATCAAGATGGTGAAGAGCATGGAGACCAGGCCACATGAGAACTGGCGGAAATTGGTGGGGGATGTTTATCTCTGGGGAAAAAAAAGGCTTAGGAGAGATGTGATAGCAGTCTTCAAATATTGGAAAGGTGAATACATGAAAGAGGGATTAGCCTTGTTCTCTTTGGCCCCAGAGGGCAGAGCTAAGAGCCATGGTAGGGGTGAGGGGGGGGAGGGGAGGGGTTCTAAAGAGACAGATTTAGGCTCTCTATGAGAAAAAAACTTGCTGGTTTGGGGATAGAGATATCCCAAGTGGAACAAGAGCCGAAAGGGTCCTTAGAGACTATGTGGTTCAACTGTCTCATTTTACAAATGAGGAAACTAAGGTCCAGTGAGGTGACACCTTCTGGTGGTCACACAGGCAATAAAGAGGCAGTTCCAACTTGAAAATTCTTTGTAATAAGTAGTTGCCCAATGACATGGTTGCTCCCATGGGAGCATAGCTCGGGATTTGGTAACCAGCCCGAAGTGGGAATCACATAACCAGCCTAAGAAACACGAGCTATTCCAAAGGAGAATAGTCTATCTCGTACAGAAATGAGACCTTGAACACTGACGGTCACTAAGCAAAGACTGTGTCTCACTGCGGACAGGGTTCTTGTTCAGCTAAGGGCCAGGCCGAATGACCTCAGAGGTCTCTTTGGACTCAGATCCTTTCATTTTGTCACTCATTCTGTAAGACCAAGACCCAGACAGGTGCCTTACCCTGAGGTCTCCCAGTAAGTTAGTCTCAGAATGTAAGTTCACTGGATGCAGAGATTGTTTCAGTCGTCCTTGTGTCCACAGCACCTAGCACAGTGCCCAACACAGAGCAGGTGCTTGATAAATGTTTGTCATTGATGGGTTGATTGATCCAGCTCCTGGTGACGGGTAGATAAATATCAAGCTAGGAAAGGAATGAATCCATCCATCAGCCGACAAACATTTATTAAGCACCTACTCTGTGTCAGGTGCTGTGCTAAGTGGTGGGGATAGAAAGACAACAGTGCAAGTCTCTGCCCTCAAGAAGCTTACATTCTATCTAGAGACAACCTGAACATACGTTAAAAATATACGAAATACAAGATAAATACAAGATATTATGGGGAAGGCACAGTGTTTCAAGCGCTCATCTTCCTGAGTTCAAATCTAGCCTCAGATGTTTACTAGCTGTGTGACCCCGGGTTAAGTCACTTAACCCTATTTGTCTCTGTTTCTCTATCTGTAAAATGAGCTGGCGAAGGAAATGGCAAACCACTTCAATATCTTTGTCAAGAATACCCCTAATGGGGTCTTAAAGAGTAGGACATGACTGAAAAAACTGAATAACAACAAAAAGTATGGGGAAGAGGAGGAAATAGAATATTGGGAGGCAGGGAGAGGACAGGAAAAACTTCATGTAGAAAATGGCACTTGAGCTGAGTTTTGAAGAACACCAGGAATTCCAAGAGCCGAAAATGAGTGGGAAGGGCGTTCTAGACACGGAGAAGGGAGATCGAGTGTCTAGTGTGTAAGTAAGAGCAAGTGGGCCATTGTGGCTAGACCATAGAGTGTGTGGAGGTGAGTAATGCGTAAGAACACCGGGCGGCAGGAAACAGCCAAGCTGGGAAGAGTTCTGAATGCCGGGCAGGGTTTCTCTTTGAGCGTAGTGGTGATGGGGAGCCACTGAAGTTGTTGAGAAGGAGAGTCACGTGGTCAGACCTGCACGGGGAGGAATATCACTCTGGCAGCTAGCTGGCTGGGGAATGCCGAGGCAAGGAAGAACAATTAGGAAGTGATTGCACCAGTCCCGGTGAGGAGTTCTGAGAGCCTGAACTAGGATGGCAGCTGAAGGGATCCAGGTAGAGAGGATTAGTTTTGGCAACTGAGAAACACCAGAAAGGTGACCGTACTTGGGAGCCGCAGGAACCACTTCTATGGAGACAGGGAGTCCTCTCCTAGCTGCCTCTAAATGAGATCAGAGGGAGAGAATTTCCCGGAACATGGAGAGAGAACGCTTCCCTGCCGCATTTCTCCCCCATCCCGCATCGCCATGCACACACACGCGCGCGCACACACACACACACACACACACACACCACACACACACACACTCAGGTTGTGGGTTTACCACCTAGGGCAGGAACTTGGCGACTCTGGCCCCGAAGAGGCCCCGAGGGGGCAGAAGATGCTGTGGGCCGCTTGCTGATCAGATTGTGGGTTTTGAGGACCTCTCCATCCCTTACGCCCTGAAGCTGGGAAGGACCCCCCGCCCCAATGCACTGGCAGGCACTGAGAACTGGCTGTGTCACCAGAAGGCCAGGGGAGAGGGCAGAGCAGCCTGATGCTGACAAAACAGGCCCAGGGACTGTGGAAAAAGAGCTGCCTTTGTCAGCTGGGGAGGGGGAGGTGTTGGGGGGAGGGGACAGCCCGGGCCCTGCTACCCCCTTCCCCAGGGCGATCAGGCTGTTGACGTCAGCACCAAACTCCTCTGCTGGAAAGGAAAAGCATGGGCCGTCCCCGGTGAACACCGGCAAACCACAGCCGCAGAGGCCAGCGGGGAGAACGTGGCAGAGAGCCAGAGCTCTCTACGCGGGGGACATGTGAGCCATCCACGGCCCGGCAGGATTGGGGTCGGGGAATGACGTCAGACCAGGAGCTGCCAGGCTCCTGGATGCCTGGCTGAGGTCACTGCTGCCCGGCGAAGAATCTGGGGCAACTGACTGAGACAATGACTACATCAGCTGGGCCGGAGATCCAGGCGCCCCCCTCGGGTGTGGGCTCACAGTGGGCCCTCTGTTCCAGAAGACAGACGCTGGACAGCGCCAGGCCCCACCGGAGCAGGAGGTAGTTTGTTGCCAAGGTGGGGAGGCCGTTCCTGAACGGTGAGCCAGAGTAGGGGGCGGGGGTGGGAAGGGCTAGAGGATCTAAGGCCCGGCCCAGCCACTGGGGAGGGGAGGGGAGAGGTACTCTTGAGCAGAACACCTCCCACCCAGCTCAAAGGGGGTGGGAAATTAATGCAGAGATTACAGAATTTGCAGTCTGAGAGTCAGGAAAGTGTAATGAAAAAGAGGATTGGCCTCAGGGCCAAGAGTTTAAATTCAGCCTCTGACCCCTACTCGCATGACCCTGGGCAAGTCATGTAAACTCTGGGAGCCTCACTTGTAAAATGAGGAGATAATAATAATAATAGTGATAATAATAACAATTAGTATTCATATAGTTGCTTGAAGGTTTGGTCCTCAAAACAACCCAGTAAGTTAAGTAGGTGGTATTATCATCCCTATGTTACTGATGAGGAAATTGAGGCAGCCAACAGGTAAGTGACTTGCCCATGGTGACATCACTTTGCCAGCCAGCTGCCTGCTAGGATAACAATACCTGCAGTAGCTACCTCCCCCCCCCCCCCCCGGTTTCAATGGAGTCCTTGTAGGTCTAGTTCTGGAATGGATGGCAGAAGCCTCCTAGTCCCAACCCCTTCATTTTAAATACATGAGGCAATGGAAGCCCAGGAAGGTGACTTGCCCAAGGTCACAAAGGGAGTAAGCATGAAAGCTTGAATATGATTATTGTGATGCTTACATGAGACTTTTTTTTTTAAACAAGACCTGTGATTCAGTCGCTATAGGGACTCCAGACTGTGAGCTGCTTGAGAGCGGGGATTGTTTTTTGGAGTTCGGGTTTTGTTTTTTTGCTGTTATTGTTTTTGCCTTTTTTATATCCCTAGAACTTAGCATGGTGCCTGGCACATGATAGGTGCTTAATAAATGTTTGTTGACTTCACTTGACTTCTGGTGAGCAACTCCCTTCACCAAGGCATAATTGGCCATTGTGCTGCAATTTATATTTTTTAGAATCACCTAGAGCATGGAGAGGTTAAGTAATTTGCCCAGGATCACAGAGCCACTGTGTATCAGAGGCAGGATTTTAATCTAGGTTGTTGTGACTTCAGGGTCAGCTCTGTATCACTATGCGTTACATTACTTGTTTTTGTTGTGGTTGTAGTTGTTTTGTCTTGTTTCATTTGTTGAGACTGGGTCTTCCTATCTCGCCCAGGCTGGAAGGACAGCAGCCGCTCATGGGCTGACAGGACTAGAATGCTGACCTGCCCCATTTCCAGCCTAACTTCCTAGGGACTTGCCATATTGGTTCCCATCTTGTTGCCAATGCCCTTTTGGGTTTAGCCCTCCTGCAGCTCAGAACTCCCAAGCTCAAGCCATCCACCAGTTTTGGCTGGATTACAGGCTTGTGCTACCACATCTGGCTTGTCTACTGAATGAGATAGTGCACTATGTAAAAATGTCTTACAATAAAGTGCCCCCTAAATTTGTTTTTAAAATTATCATCCAGTCCAACCCTCTCACTTTATAGGCTAGGACAAGGAAGCCCAAAGAACTTAAGTGATTTGCCCAAAGCTACATAAGCAGTAAATACAGTCAGAATTAGAACCCAGATCCATTAACACCTAATCTTTTCTTTCCACTCTATTGACTGCTTCCCCAGAGGGGAAGGTGGGGACAGAGGGTAGGTGGGGATAGAGCTACATAATAACCCTGTTGAGGCAGGTTGGACAACATCCCAGGATGCTGCCCCTGTCAAGGGTTGGCCAAGGCAGTAGCTGTCCTGCTCCCCCAAGATGGAAAAGGATGGGCTTCCTCAGTAAATGTCAATGTGTTCTCTAGGGATTTGGCGAAACCATTTCTACCCATCTAGCAGATTCAAGTCAATGCCACTAAGTGGACATTCATGAAGCATTAAGTATTTGCAAGAGCCTGCTGTAGCGGTTAAAGAGATGGCTTCAGAGTTCATGTCCTACATCTGACTCATCCTGACTGTGTGACTCTGTGTAAGTTATGTAAGACTAACAATTCTGAAACTTTTTGGCCTCAGGACACCTTTACCCTCTTAAAAATTATTTAGGAACTCCAAGAGCTTTTGTTTATGTGGGGTACAGCTATAGATATTCAGCATATTTAAAACTTAAAGTGATGAATTTTTGAAATGTTTATTAATTCCAAAAATAATAACAATTCAATATAACAATTTGCATTGTCAATATAAATAAAATTTTTATGGAAAAATAACTATATTTTCCAAAGTGAAAAAATTAGTTGAGAAGAGTAGCATTTTTAAAATTTTTTTTTGCAAATCTCTTTCATGTCTAGCTTAACAGAAGATAACAGGATTCTCATATCTGCTTCTACATTCAATCTGTTTGATGCATTGTTTTGGTTGAAATATAAGAAGAAAATCCAGCCTCACACAGATATGTAGTTGGAAAAGGGAGCAAGTAATATCTTAGTATCATTATGAAAAATATTGACCTTGCAGACTCTCTGAAATGGTCTCAAGGGTTCCCAAGGGTTTTGGGATTTCTCTTTCAGAACCACAGACCCAAAATTATCAGTTGCAGAACCATTACAGGTTGTAATACCCAGAGTTGATGATCTGTATTGATAGAAGGAGTTTCCTTACGTTGATTAAATCACAGGTTTGGGGGTTGAATGGAAAAGTGTATGGAAGGCATTGTGCTAAGCTTGGCAGTTATTGAAATAGATATGACACAAGCCCTGCTCCCCGAGAGCTTACAGTCTAATGATGGGAAGGACACAAATACCTAAGATCCACGGGGAGGGAAATCAGTGTAAAGGGAAGATCCAAAAAATGCCCTAAGAAATTTAAGAGATGAGATCACTTTTACAAGGAATGGGAGGAGGCTTCTCTCTCTCCCTTCTTAACTCTCTTCAGTCTGGCTTCTGACCTCACAATTCAACTAAAGCTACTCTGTCCAAAGTTGTCAGTGACCCTTTAATGGGCAGATCCAATATGGCCTTTTCTCAGTCTTCTTGGCCTGTCTGTAGCTTTTGACGCTGTCCATCACCCTCTTCTCCTTGGTAGTCTCTCTTCTCTCTAGATTTTTGTGACATCTCTCCCTCCTGGTCTTCCTCTTACCTATCTCACAGGTCCTTCTTGGTCCCTTGGCTGGATTTTCATCCAGATGATGCCTACTAACCATGGGTATCACCTAGGGCTCTGTCCTGGACCTTCTTCTTTTCTCTCTCCCTCTAGATTATTTCACTTGGTGATCTGATCCAAATTATCCAAATTATCATCCAAATGCTGATGATTCTTAAATCTCTTATCCAGTCTTAATTTCTCTGCTACCTTCCAAACTTGCATCTCAACTGCCTATTGGAAATTTCAAATTGAATGTCTTGTAGACATGTCCGAAACTGAGCTCATTATCTTTCCCCTGCAAACCCCCATATCTTCTTAACTCTCCTATTGGTATTGAGGGAACCATCATCCTCTTAGTCCTCTAGTCTTGAAAGCTAGCTGTCATCCTTGACTCCTTATTCTCTCTCCCTCCATCCCATGGCCAATCTGTTGCCAAGGCCTGTCAGTTTTACCTTCATCACATCTCTTGACAACACGCCCTTCTTTCCTCTGACAACCATGCTCTAGTGCAAGCTTTCATCACCTCTTACCTGAGCTACTGCAAAAGCTGTTAAGACACCTCAAGCCTCTCCCCAATCCAGTTCACCCTCTACTCAATTATCACAATAAGCTTCCTAAAATGCAGGTCTGACCACGTCCCCTTATGCCCCTGAAAAAGCTCCAATGTCTCCCCATCACCTCCGGGATCAAATATAAAACCTTGTTGGGTATTCAAAGTCCTTCATAATTTGCCCCCTCCCTTGTTCCAGTTTTCTTACACTTTTGTGCCCTATCTTACCCCTTTCTTTAATCCAATGGTGGCTTCCTTGTTGATCCTCAAATAAAACACTCCGTCTCCCAACTTCAGGCATTTTCACTGACTGTCCTCCATGCCTGGAATTCTTTCCCTTTGCCTCCCAGCTTCCCAGCTTCCTTCAAGGCCCAGATAAGATCCCACCTTCTGTAGACTTTAGAACATACAGCTCTGTGTAGCTCAGCTCTGGGAGGGACCATCGAATGGAAATGTTGGAGCTAGGCAGGACCTTAAGGACCATCAGCCCCCTCGTTTTATAGTTGGGGAAACAGAGAGGAGCCCACTTCTAAGTTTCATTTCAGCACCTCCCTCCTATTTGTGTGTAGGACTTCTAAAAGCCTCCCATGACCAGAATTCCGTTTTTCCCTTAGTCACTCCTGGACTCCCCATCCCTCCTCTTACAGGCTTCAGGGAAGGCAGCCTTCCCAGAGGGAGTCACAAAAGGGTGGGAGGTCTAAGGGCAGCCCAGATAGTTGTATCCTGGGATTCCCCTGGTCACTAGGGCTTCAGGCTCACACAGGAATCCAGCTGAACAGCTAGCCTCAGAGTCAAAGGAGCAGGGGTTAGCCTTAGAAGGGAGGTGGGACAGAGCCTCAGAAGAAGGGCCTCTTCTCTGTACCCCAGACTGGTAGTTGACTCCTCTCCCTCTGCTGAATTGCAGGTTATATTTCATTAGTCACCAGCCAACTCTGCATGGACATTTCTGAAAATTGCTCAGCTCCTGGGGACAGGTGACAGATGAGGCTGTTCACTGCTTCCTGTGGAGGTTGGGGGTGTTTATTTCTGCCAGCCATGCAGCTGCAGCTGGGGGAAGGGGAGGCAGAGAAAGCTGTGCTTAAGCTCTGAGCTGTTCGTCTCTTGATGGGGGGATGATCGTGACCCTGATGGGGAATGGTCAAGGTGAGAGAGCCTCAAATCTCCCCATCGGTCTTGCGACATAAGGCACAGAACATAGAATTTCAAGGCTGGAGAAGAATATCAGTCATAGAACGTCAGACCTGGAAGGGGTCTTGGAACACAAAACATAGAATGCTAGCACTGGAAGAGACTTTAGAACACATATCAGCTCTGGGAGGGATCTTAGAATGTAGAACATTGAAGCTAGAAGGGACCGAGAGGCCTTTTAGCATAGCTGACTGACTGAGTTGGCCTTCCTTGGCCAGAATGGGAATCTCACAAATTCAACATACATTTATTAAGTTCTTGCTGTGACCTGAGCACTTCAGGAAATCTAGGATAACAGATCTTGAGTAGGACAGGACCTCAGAGGCCATCTAGCCCAGCTCCCTTATTTTGCATTTGAGGAGACCAAGGCCTGGAGAGCCAAAGTCCCAGCAGAACTGATAACAAGCTTTAGATATGACATTATCCCTTCCCTCATAGAGCTCAGACTTAGAAGAAGATTCAAGCGCAGGTAGACTATGCAGCCTTACATGATAAGTAATGAGAGGTACAGAATCAGTGCTCAAAGGCCGAAGGAGAGGGGATCTGAGAAAGCTTCCATCAGGAGGTGGCACTTGAGTTGGGAATTCAGTAGGCAGAGATGGGGGCAGAGGGCATTCCAGGCACAGGATATGGTCTGAGAAAAGCCTTGGAAGTAGAAGGAGGTAGAGCATATGCAGAGGGCAAAGACTGAGCCAGTTGGGATAGAGCATAGAGTTCAGGGTCATAGGGTATGGCTGTCAGACATAAAGTAGTATGGGCGGAAGGGTTGGGTGGTGCCATATTGTACTAGGTTCAGGAGTTTGAACTGTATTCAAAAGATAGTAGGGAGTCCCTGAAGGTCTCCGAGCGGAGAATGGATAGAATAAAGGTTCCGGGTGAGAGAAGAAGATAAGACTTCTTTCTCTGAGTCGCATTCACATTGAACTTTATAGTTTAAAAAGTGCCTTAGCTGACATTGACCCATTTGGTCCTCACAAACCTTGAAAGGTAGGATTAGGATTGTTGTCCCCATTTTATAAATGGATAAACAGACTCTGAGAGAATAAATTATTTGCCCAAGGTCACGCAGCTAGTGAATGGACAAAAACCCAGGCCTTCTGATTCTTCATCCAAGGTTCTTTCCATTATAGTGCCAATTCATTCACCTAAATGCATAAGGAGCTATTCATCACAAACAGCCATGTTGCCAGGTGGGCTATGTCTCTTCCTCTCCCCCCAACCCTGGTCATTCCCCCAGCCCCAAACTGAAGCCAGTATAACAAAGGGCTGGCTCTAAGAAGCTGCCGGGATGTGGAATGGGATCAGAATATCTTCCTTTCTCTCTCTCTCCCTCTGCTGCCTTTGTCCTCGAGCCCAGTTGCCCAGGCAGAGAAGGAGGTAATGAATGGCGTCCGTCTCTAGGTCCCTTTGGAAATGGCCTGGGTTCCGAGAATGGCCTTGGCCTAGTTTCTATAATGGATTTCTGCCTCCTGGACAGACAGCAGAATCAAGGGGCCAGAAGGGAGGGCAGGAGGGTGACGGGGAGTGAATGCTTCACTTAATATTTCCTACCTGGAAGCTGACGGCTGGCTACTGCTGAGCGGAGAAAGCTTGAGAATGGTCAGAACAGCAGGGACAGAGTGGGCAGAGAAAGGAGAGTGCTAGCCATAACAGGCCAACCTTGAGAAAGTTTCCTACTGTGCTTTAGGGGGGCTGGGCAATGTGGTCAGATGGACCATCCACCCCCTCCAACTCCCATCTGGAGTTAGTCTATGGGAAGACCAGCCCCAAGAGGAAGGAAGTTTCATTCCAGCTGCATGCCCCCACAAACACATGGCTTAGTAACTCTCAGGTATTTCCTGGCCTGCCCAGGCCCTAGATGCTTCAGGCTGGGAGGGACCTCAGAAATCATTTATTTTCTCTCCTAGCTTCTGGACAATAGAAAAGCCAAGGATGGTTTTCTTAGTGTTAACCATCTGGGTGGACAAAAGAGATCCTCTAGGGTTGGGGTTAGGGTCACAGCTTAGAAAAAAGAGTGATGATAACCGTAGGCCAAGGGAGGAGAGTGGGAATATTGGGGAAAGCCCTAGATTTGGAGTCAGAAGAAGAGGGTTTGAATTTATCCAAGATCCACTGCTTCCTGCCTATGTGACCTTGAGAAGTTCAGGTCTCCCCTTGGGCCTGTTTCTTCATCTCTAAAATGACCTCTAGGATTATATGACCTCTAGATTTCCTTCAGCTCTAAATTTTATGTTTGGCAAAGGCTTTATGAAAGAGATGGTGTTCCTGTATTGAGGAGGGGGGAAATCTCCCCTCCAAAATTCATAGGATTTAGAGCTAGGAGAGTCCTTAGAGACCAATTGATCTAAGAGAGATGTCATCAAGTTAATTAATGGCAAAGCTGGAACTCGAACCCAGGTCTCCTGCTCCCCATTTTTCCACTTCCTTTCCATTTGGACTGTAAGCGCTGCCGCAAGAGTGCCTAACTCATGACTGGACACAAGGGTGGGCCTCGTCAAAGGCCCAGAACGCAGTGGGTCGGTGGTGCCTGGGGGCCTGGCCTCTTCTTGCTTCCCAGGCCCTGCCCTTCACCCATCCCCATCCCTTGGCAGACTCTGAGCTCCCTCCCACCACAGACAGAGAATGCTTGTTCCCTGCTCTGAGTTGGGAACACAACTTCATCATCCCAGCGCCTGTCCCTGCTATGAGATGTGTCACGACACCCCTAAAGATAGGATTTGACAACCTGGGAGAAAAGAAAAAAAACTGATGTGAAGGAGCCTTTTAAAAATCTACCACAAAAGAGCAGGGCAAGGAAGAGTCTTCAGGTTGGAAGGGCTAGCTGAGTCAGGGCCACTGTGGACCTCTGAAGAGGACGCACAGGGGCAGGGTCAGCGGAGCCTCTGCCACACCAGAGGGTCTCTAAAGGCCTTCCCAGGTCAGGGCCTGGACAGTTCTCTTTGTGCTACTCTGCCACCTTCTAGCTGTGTGACCTGGAGCAGGTGATCACCCCTCTGGGCTTCAGTTTCCTCATCTGTAAAATGAAAGGGTTGGCCTGGCTGGTCCCAGGTCCTCTCGAGCCCCAGCATTCTAGTGCCCTTCTGACTCTGCCATCCTACGTTCTAATCTCCCTCCTAGCTCTGATGTTCTAGGCTCTGAGGTCCCTCGCAACTCTACCATTCTCTGTTCTGTAGCCTAAGGTTTCTTCCCCCTCCGTCCTGTCTTCTGAGAGTCCTTTCAGCTCTAGTAATCTCTGTTTTTAGGTCACTCCGAAGGCCAGCATTCTGCAGTCCATGGTCTAGGCTTCCTTCCTGAGCTGACACTCTGTGCTCTAAGATGATTTCTGGCTTAATCTTCTCCATCCTAAGGTCCCTTCCAGCTCTAGCATTCTGTATTCTATGGTTCTCAGAAGAGAAGCAGGGAGAAATCCCAGTAACTGCCTCAAAATCCTAGTGTTATTGTTCATATTTCTAAGCTGGCATTTGTACAGCACCTTGAGGTTTGCAAAGTATGATTGTAGACAATACCTCATCTGAACCTTATAGTAACCCTTGTTAGGGAGGTACTATTATGTGCATTTTGCAGATGAGGAAACTGAGATTCAGAGAGATTAACTACTTCTGCACACATGAGTAAGATCCATCAGTGGAATTGAAGCCCATGTCCCTTGTGACTCCAGGCCCAATGCCCTTTCCAAAATATCATCCTGCCACTACAACTTTCTTTCTTGAGGTTCAGAGTTTGGGGACTGGAGACATGACCTAGAGATTAGCCACCTTCCAATCTGGACAGAGCTCAGGTAGAGATCCCAGTACAGCACAGACTATAATTCTGAAGTGGCATGTTGCCCTCCCTGGCTTTGAGCCCTTCCCCACTACACCCCACTCCAGCCTGGCAGATAGGCTTGCTGTCCCCCAGGAGCAAGACCATGGGAAGGATGCTACCCAAAAGGCACACCCAAAGACAGGGAAGCTTTCACCAACAGGACTTCTACAAACAAAGTGCCTTTTTTATAATGAAGTCAGCTACATCATTACTGTTGTTGTTTTAACAAACAAAAAACCCTCTGGCATGGGCATGGAGGTCATCCTGGGGCCTGGGCTCCAACTGTCCCTAACTTTGCTACCTGTGTTCCTCGGGGCTGGCTCGGGGTCAGAAGATGTGGGTGTGAGTCCTGGTCCCACCTCTTATCTGCCATGTTGCTTTGAGCACATGAATCTCTCTGAAGTTCAGAGTTCTCATCTGTAAAATGGGAAGAGGGAAAACCTAAATGTTCTCTAAAATCCCTTCTGGTCCTAGCTCTCCTGATTAGTAACTCAATCAGAATTCTCAAAGGGTGTTCCAGGGACTCCTGAGGGTCCCCAAGACCCTTTCAGGAGGTCCAAAGATCAAAACTATTTTTATAATAATACTAAGATGTTTTAATTTCTGAAGTGCTAAATGTTAAGTGATCTAATCCACATTAACAAAAGCTCTTTGAAGGGGTCTCAATCATTTTTAAGAGTGTAAAAGGGTCCTGAGAACTTCTGTGTTAGGGAGGGAAAAAGGAGGAAGACTCCAGAGTGGTGGTGGTGCTGTCCATCATGGAGGTGCTGATATGCCCCGAATCACTGGAGTGGTGAAACGTGTTGGGGCTTGCCAAGCTAAATAAGATGAATACATTATCTGTAAAAGTCACATCTACCTGAGAGATAAGTGCTGCCTGTATGAAGATCAGACATGTGTAAGGAGGACCAGAGAGCGAAAGTGACTTGCCCACAGCCACACAACCAATATATGTAGGAGCCATGATTCGGACCCAGGTCTTGTCTGGCCGCAAATCTAGTCCTCTTTCCATTATACCCCACTGTCCACGTAGCTACTCATTGTCATGATCACTTTCCTGTTCTGTGACTTAGTTTCCTCTTCTATAAAATGGGGGAATGGGGGGCTGGTGGAGTAGAGGACTTCTGAGGTTCTTTCTAGTTCTAGATCTCTGATCCAATGGTCCTCTCATCCTATCAGATAACCTACACTTCATAAAACATCATTGCTGGAAAAGACCTTAGAGCATAGGATGTCAGAGCTGGGAGATACCTTAGAGTATAGAATGTCAATGATGGGAGGGACCTTGGAAGATGGAGTGTCAGAGCTGGGAGCAACCTAGAACAGAGAATATCTGAGCTGGGAGGGACCTTAGAACACAGAATGTCAGAGCTGAGAAAAACTTTAGAACACAGAATGTTAGAACTGGGTGGGACCTTAGAAAATAGAATGTCAAAATGGGAGGGACCTCGGAACATAGAATGTTGAACTAAAAGGAAACTTAGATCTTAGCTTGGCCAAGTCCCTCATTTTTTAGAACTGTGAGTAGTTCACATTTATTAATGAATTAAATTTACCTAAATCTCTAAATCTCCAAGGTTTACAAAGCACATTCCTTAGATCTAATAAATTGGCAAATATGACTACCCTCCTCCCCGCAAAAAAATCGTCAATGTGAGAAGGACTGAAGGATGACAGCCATGTTGTTGGTAGAGCAGTGAAATTGGTTCTGAAAAACAAGTGGGAATTGGGCAAGAGAATGATTAAGCTGTTCATGCCTTTTAGCCCCCATCCAGCCACTGGGCCTATACCCCCAAGGAAACCAAGGACATAGAGAAAGGTTTCATGAACACTAAAATATTTCTAGCACTGTTTTCACTAGGCAAGGACTAGAAAGAAAATGGTGACCATAGATTGGGAAATGGCTGAAAAATTGGGGTACATGCATATAATAGAATATCATTATGCCCTAAAATAACAAATATGAGAAATTCAGAGAAACACTAGAAGGCTAGTATGAACTGATGCAAAGCAGAATAATAATAATAGTAATAATGATAATAACACAGGCATAACAATAGTAACTGATATTTGTACAACAGTTTTAAAAGTTTGCGAAGTCTATATATATGTGTGTGTGTGTGTGTGTGTGTGTGTGTGTGTGTGTGTGTGTGTGTGTATGTGTGTATGCATATACATACACAAATACAGGCTCATTGGAACCTCACAACACTGTGTGCTAGGTACTACAGGGAATATCATCCTATTTTACAGATGAAGAGACCGAAGTTCAGAGAGGTTTGTCCATGGTCACCCAACTGGTGTCAGAGAAAGTCAGCAGAGCTGGGAGAACAATATATTCGGAATGATTACAGTCATATAAATTAAAAAGAATGTGAAATGCCGATCGAACTTGCGATGATGAATCTTGATCCAGAGAATAATGAAACATACTGTCTTCTTTTCTCAGCATGGCACATAGTAAGCACTTAACGAATGCTTTTCTGTCTGTCTACTTATCCGTCTACCCATCCATCCCTCCATCCATCTGCTTGTCCATCCCTCCATCCATCTACCCATCCAGCTCCTTTATGAGGAGAAGGGCGGACTGCAGAGACAGAGTGTCGCATACACTGTCTGGTTGAATCACTATCCACTGGCTGTTTCTGTTTCACCGTTCTGCTGCTGCTGCTATGGTTGTTGTTGTCACAAAGGAGGGACCAGTGTAGCAGAGGGAGCTAGAGCCAGAAATTGCTGTGATCAAAAACAAAAGGAATTAAGAAAACGTATTTTAAAGCAATCCTGTGGGGTAGAGAATGCAAATATCATCATCCTTATTTTAAGGATGAAGAAATCCAGGATCCCAGGGAGGTTGTGCACTGTTCGTTGTCATGAGGTTGGTAAATGGGGGAGCCAGACTCAAGCCTACATCTTCTGCTTTTGAGTCAAATGTCTCCCTCCACCCCAGCAGCACCCTGAAACTGAGCCTGAAAGTAAGAGGTTAAGTTACCTGCCCAGGGTCAAACAGAGCCTTAGAGATAGAGTCGAGACTAGAGCCGCTCTGGCCTTTTGGCCCTTCATCCAGAAGTCTTTCTAACACCAATATAGTGGGGACTTTTCCACCCTGTCCACTAGGTAAGAGCAGGAGCCTACACTAAGGGGACCCAGGATGAAAGAAGCCACAAAGGCCCAATAAAGACAACTTCAGACTTCATCTTTTTCAGAAGCCCAGCCTAGGCTGCCCATCCTGCCCCCAAATCCTGTCCTTGAAGCCCCCATTCACTTCCTCTTCCATCTCCCCTTCCTCCACCAATGGCCACTGAAAGCAGGGAGGCAGAACTCACTTCCTCGGGCCATCAAGTTGTCAAGGTTGCTTTCAGCTTTTTGTCCTATTTTATTAGCTTTGACCCATTATTCTAATCCAGTGACATTGTTTGGGATCCTGTTTCTTGTATCTGATGTGCTAGAGGTGGCTCCTGGCTCCAGGTCATCTGAAAAGGTGATAAGCATGCCCTTTACCCCTTCATCCAAGCCACCCATAGAAATGTTGTACATGGCTAAAGACAGATCCCTGTGATAACCTAATGTAGACCTCCCTCCTACTCCCTTGACACTGACCATTAAATATTCATTCTACTGCCAGTTATGGATTATCACATGGCCCTATCTATCTTACCCCCAAGGATAGCATGAGAGACTTTGTCCAATACTTTGCACCAATTGAGTCACTAGTAGGTATCTGCATAGGGCAGCTAGGTAGCGCCATAGTACATAAAGCACTGGACCTAGAGTCAGGAAGACCTGAGTTCAAATCCAGCCTGACACTTACTAGCTGTGTGAATGTAGGCAAGTCACTTCACCCTGTTTGCCTCAGTTTTCTCATCTGCAAAATGAGCTGGAGAAGGAAATGGCGAACCACCCCAGTATCTTTGCCAAGAAGACCCCAAATGGGGTCACAGAGTTAGACATGACTGAAAAACAACTTAACAACAGCAAGGTAGCTGCTGCTTTCTCCCAGTGGAGTCACCCTGTCCAAAAAGAAAATGAGGTTAGTATAGAGTAAGTGTGTGGGTAGAGCTAGTGGTTCTGTCCGTGATGGGGGTTTTGGAGGCAGCTCATTGCCGAATCTGGAGTCACTTTGTGGCTGGAACTAGGGTTCAGTTTGTGGCTGGAGAGTGTTTTGTCTTATTTGTTTTACAGCATTCACCCCTCCAGCCCCCGAAAGATGTTCCTCTCTGTCGCCATGTTCCAAATACCAGGCTAATTGGCTCAGAACTTTGCTCTCCCCCTACCTTGCTCATCACCCCACCCTGGCTGAAACCTCTCATCCCCTCAAGAGCATGAGAGATGAATGGTGCCTCCCCATACACAGTTTTTCCCCCTGGGCCCATGATTCCACAGATGTTTCTAAGTAGTGTTGAGCCTGGTTCACCACCCTTGGGGCCAACATGTTGCTGCCTTCATTTGCTGCCCCTCGCACTCCCAAAAGCATTCTATCAGGTCTGTCTGCTCATTTCTCCTGATCATGTAGCCACCACGAAATTCCAATAACATTACTTCACCCAGGTACTTTTTTATTTTTATAGACATCTCTTGTTTTGATATTATCTGATATATCTTTTCCTTTACCCCATCAGAGAGCTATCCCTTAGAAAACACACACACACATACACACATACACACACACACACACACACACACACACACACACACACACACACGGAATCTAAGACCCAGAGGGGTTATGAGGGGGTTGGGAGACATGGCCTCTAGGGTCTTCCAGCCTTAAATTCAGGATCATGCTATCCCGTGATCAGCAGCAAAGCCAGGCCACTCAGCTGCTCATCTAATACTCTTTCTGAATGACATCCAACCCCAGGCCTTTCAAAAGCTCCTTTTTTCCCCCTGATGAGTAGAGGAGAAACATGAGTGGCTGTTCCTGTCCCACAGCTGGTGTCCCTGCAGGCCCTGCCTGGCTGACTGATGGCTCCCCACTTCTTTCTCCTCCCCTGGCTAAGGTGCCTTATTGCCAAGTGCCTCCGCTCTGGCAATTAAACGCCCTGTTTAATTTGGGGAACCAGCTGGAGCCCCATGCGACTGGGGTATGCAGTCAAGTTGAGCCTGTGCGTTAGGGGGCGGAGGGAGAGCAGGGCTGTAATTGAATTTCTGCAGCATTTGCGCCTTTGGTCTGTCTGGCATAACCCAGATGCACTGGACTTGAAGATCTGAGTTCTGATCCCCATTCAGCTGCTTCTTACCTGTGTGACATGCCCCTCCGCATATATCAATTTCCTTCCATGGAAAAGATTGAGTTTAGACTAGGTCAGAAATCTAGAACTCAAAGGGACCCTCAGAAGCCATCTCATCTACTCTCTTCATTTTACAGTTGGAGAAACTGAGGCCTATAGAATATAAATGGTCCAGGTCACACACGTATTAAATGTCTGAAGTGGGCTCTGAACCAATGTCTTCCTGACTCCAGAGTGGAGCGCTTAATCTTCTATGCCTTCCAAAAGACACTCTATAATTACTCCTGGTACTTTTCATCCAATCAATCTGTCATCAAAAATTTATTCAATGTGTCCTATGTGCCAGGCACTGTGGTGATGTCCTAGGGTGAAACCTTCTCCTTGACTGTGTACTGTGTCTGGTCTCCAACACCCACCCATCCTTCCATTCCCGCCTCAGCCCTGGGCTGAGCCCTCCTGTCCCTCAGACAGGCTGACAGCACGAATCACTCCAGCAGCCAAGCACCTTGGACCTGGCCCCACTGAAGACATGACTTAGGTTCCTCCTCCTCCCTTGGTGCCTGGTCTCTGTTCCACCCCACCCCCAAACCCTTCATTTTGTTCCTCACACCTTCCACAAGCCCCTGGAGAGGTTTTATTTCCCATCTGGGGCTTGACTCAGACAGAGGAAACAGCTGCTTTTAGAATGGAAAACTTCCTCCTCTCCCCCTCCCATGCAGAACATCTGAAAATTCTGCCTAAATTACCATCAGGGGACTCAGCTGCCTCCCTCCCTTAGTTCCCCAGCCCCTGAGTAAAGTGTAGGGAGAATTCCCTCTCCTCCTTTTAAATCTTTTCTTCGAATATTGTGTTTCCCTCAATGGCAGCCATTCCAGCTGCTGCTCGGGGGGAAATGATCTTATTAGCAGCGGCCCCCCTTCCCTGGAGCTGGCTGGCACAATCCCAAGACTTTGCAGTGAGTACTTGTTTTCAGTCCTGTCTCTATCTCTTTCCATCCTTCTTTTTTCTTCTCTTTTCTGTTTCTGTATCTCTTATTCTTCTTCTCTGTCCAAAGAAGATTCTCTGCTTGTGTCTCCTTTTCTCATTTCTTTCTGTCTTTCCATTTCTCTCTATTCCTTCCCTAGCTCTGTTTTCACTCTCTCTCTCAGTCTCTGCCTTTCCTCCTCCTTCCTCAGCTCTCTTTTGATATCTCTCCTTGCTTTCCCATTTTTGTAGAATCTCAGAATTTTGAAGGTGAGAAAGGGCTTCTAGAACATAGAAGGAATCCCCATTATGATATGTCAGAAAGTAGTTATTCATCCTCTGATTTGAAGACCTCTGAGGAGGGGGAACCCAATGCTTCTCCAGGATGCCTATTCCACTTCTGGACAACTCTAAACATTAGGAAGTGAGGCTCTGTGTGATTGAGTGGTACCCGCTGAAGGTCAGGGGTGGAGAAGGTAGCATCAGAGAATGGGATTTGGACTTTGGGACGATGATTTACAATACAGGGTTGACAGATCCCTAGCCAGATGAAGTTCACCTAACAAAGACTGAGAAGAATGTATTTGCCTTATTTCTTACACATCTAATCCAAAAGAGGTTTAAATTAAAATGGATAGGGGTGAAGAAGACTGCTGATGTATATCCCCAAGTTAGATTCCATAGAGATTAGCCACAAAGAAGGAAAAAGAATAGCAGGTGGAGGACCCCTACAAATTCACAGAAGACAAAGTACAAGAAATAAACCACTAGTAAAAAATCCCTGATTGCACAAATGCCTAAAGTTTAGCCAATAAGCAAGAAGAATTAGTGATCCTAATGCAAGAAGGAAAATCTGACCTCATAGGTATCATTGAGCCTTAGCAGGATTAAAAGAACAGAACTGCTATATGGTTTTTGGTATATAGCCCGCCTCATCTATACCTTTTTGCAGGTGTAGCAGTATATGATAAGAGTGTGTCCTGTCAGACAATTCAGGAACCAGAGAAGGGAAGCAGGGTGAGAGAGCATTTGGGTTAAAGGTCAGCAGAGGGAGAAATTGAAATATTTTGTCATCTGACTACACTACAGACCACCTGTTCAGAAAGAGGAAATGAATGAGTTTAATTGGGAAATAGCTCACAAGCCTGGCAC